TGTATTAATAATGGTAATCAATACGGCAATGGTATTATTTCAATTCATTGTTATGATCGATTATAAATTTAAAAAAATGGGCGATGATCACTGAAGCTGTGAGTATTAATGAAATCATATTTTAGTTAGTGTTCTAGTATAGTAACAATAGCATTTTTGTCTTTTATTAGCATCCTTGTTTTTCTTTCGTTAAAAAGTGTGTTTTTTTATGAATTTCATCATTTCACACGCTATGAGCATTGCCCAACCAAATCATTGCATCTGTTTTCAACATTTGAATAAGTCACTTAAGGTGAGCGTGCATGCTATCGTGCTATTTTTCATGAGAAAAAAAGCTGATGGGTCGAAAACTTTTAAATTAGCCTGCATTAAATACAGTTCATTCATTCTTGATTACAGAACTTGAAAGGATAGAAGCAATATTATCTATAGAAACCTTAAGTGCAAGCCGTGTGTGCCAATACGTCTGTGCGCTACGCATTAAAAAAGAACTTATCTATTCGTGCACTTGAAATATACCTTCCAAAAAATGGTGGTCTTACCATACACACAAGTAAAATTGACGCATTTCAATCAGATTTAATCTCAAATTGCAAAAGAAAACGAAAAGAACAGATGAAATAATCGAAATGAAAATCAAAAAAATCTAATGAAATATTCATTTCAGTTAAAGATAAGAAAGATACCTTAAAGAAAAACATGCACTAATTACTGATTATATATTAAGAGTATAAGGTAGATATGAACATAAGACAACTGTTTCTGTCCTGCCTTGTAGTACATGGAAGAACAGCATACGAGAGGGCAGAAAGAATTCCTATTTCGGTTTTCGACCACCAAATTACATACTAGTTTATTACTTATCTTCTAGTTAATTTATTTCGCATTATTTTCAAAGACAACATCTAAAGTTTCCAATAGTGACTAATAGTATACATGCAAAAAATTGTAGAAAAATTTCGATTTAATTATTATGTTAGTGGCACATTGTTGACGAAAAATAAATGAAAAACATTATGAATGTATGTGATTTATGATAACTTTCTTGACATATAGTGAATACTGTTAATAAGAACAGACAAATGAAAAAATATTTGCTAACAAAAGTGAAACTAGGAGAAAAGGAAATATCTATCACAGAGAAAATTAAACTTATGCGGAAGTGTTTTTAATTAGACGCTAAACTAAGAAATAATGTTCTTTTATTTTAAAATAAACCTAAACTTTCCTCTTTAGTAAAATATATCAGATACCTACTTTTCAATTTGATCGAGTATTTCCATTTGTTGATGCTGTATGTAAGCATCAGTGACTTCTTCTGTGACGACATCACAAAATGATTTAGCAAAGTATTTTCATGAATAGAAGAAGTGCGCCTTTGAATATTTGCAGTATTAAACAGTGACAGTGAGAATGGCACTTTAACTTTACTTTAAAGTCAAAATTCCATTGCTAATCGAGAGTCAGTAGCTATAATAGTTTAGTACAGACACGACATAGGCTAAAATGTTCGTCATTTTTGTTTTTCGATTGGAAAGTAAGCTAATAAAACTTAGCATCTTATCTATGAACCAGGCTAAAATTTTAAGATAATTACGCAAAGATAAAAAAAATACTAATCAAAAATAATAAGCTCAGAGCCTTGATTTTTTGATCAAAGCTTATTTAGACAAATTAAAGTTAAATAGAAAACAGTGCGGAACTCTCCAACTGTCTAGATTTAACTGACCTTGAATTAAAGCTGAACAGAACTTAATACTGATATATGAGTGAGTTCTTTCGTCTCATCTTTTTGCGTTTTTTTTTTATTTTTTTTAATCTTGACAAAACTTTTTCAATTTGCCTAAACTTAAACTTTGTTTGACACATACAAAACAAAAAAAACTTAACATTTTTATCGAAATATTTTACTCTTTTACGATGGCTGATTTCATAAAATATTATCCAGCTGTTCAGAATTAAGATTGGTTCTTGTTCTTTGGATGATCGATCCAGTCCCTAGAGTTATCTTTTTATTACATGTGAGCATAGGATAACTTTCTCTGTCCTGCCCTTTCGTATCTTCTTGGCTTACTCTATCCTGGCGAACGATAGAACATCAGGACCGTCATTTTCTGTGATCATCTCTGATAGGGCAAAACTTTTGTGTCATGCGTCGAGTAGTTTGGTTTTCTCATTTAATGTACCATGAAATGCAATATCCTTATTTTTTTCATACTTGAAATTCATAGATTCTGAATAGCTTATGTCTCATGATAAAAAATATAATTCACCATAGATATTCAGATTTTGTCGGTGTAACGATTAATAAGACTCTGTTGAGTTTATATCGTATTGACAAACTGGATAGAGGTGGAGTAGCTTACAGCCACTCACGGCAATGATGTTTATTCGTTTATTCACATATCCAGAGTGTAACAACTTCATACATAACACACGTATATATAGGAGAGAGATAGAAGAGAGACAGGAGAGAGATATATTATAATAATGGAAAGAGAATAGAAGGAAGAGGAAGGAGAATCATCGAAGCGTGCCATCGATATCGGCACAGTCGGTGATTGAAATATTGAAAATACCTAGAAAGATTTAGTTTTAGCAATTATGATCATACATTTAAATTTTAAATTTTTTCAGAAAAAAGCATCAATCTTTTTATTAGGTTCCAAAACCGAGATAAAATAGAAAATGTTGCAAAAAATATTGTTTCAGTGTAAAGTTAAAAAGAAAGTCTTAATCGAAATAAAATTATCTTATTTTACCCGTCTACATGATTTAATGAAAGAACCGCTCTTGAGGACTTCAGTTATTCCCATCTTTTATTTATTCCTATTTCTTTTTGGTTGCATTTTGTGTTCTATGCCCAGGAGGATCATCCCGACAATCGGACCCAATAAGATCCTATAGAATTCCAATCGGATTTTATATACATTTCCAATAAACCAGCGAATTCCTATCGGATTCCGGGTTGTGGAATGACATTCGGATCTCTAGTGTCGGAATAACATTGTATAATCATCGGATCCTACTGTCGGATTGTGACGGATCCAACGCTCGACTCGGACTACCCTCTAATGCTGGCTTGAGGTACTAATTATTGGTCAATTAATTAAATGCTTTTTTCCGTCGTATCCGTTAGTGGTTCCGTGACCCGGAATCCCATCTGATTTTGTCGACTGGTTGGATCTGATATAGGATTCATTCACCTGGGTGGTTCTTCTGTTTTTTTGACATGCTTTGCTATACATTCGTGAAAATAAATCTTCGTGCAACAGGTATACAATCACTCGCGACACCAATAGTCGAGATCAGGATCCATTATTATCTTTACATGTTGAATAAACAAGTTTGCTAGTTGCACATTTTCCAACATCCACTGTTGGCACTCGTGTTCATTCTGTTCCTCAATCGACCGATTATTTAATTTCGTCACTTGAACCGAACAGCATCATTGAAAGCACCGTTTAATGGTTATTACTATTATAACCCAATTATGAGCACATAATTAATATAATTTTTTAGATATATAACTTCACTCACTTCCATCATATGAGCAGATTTATATTTTCTTTTTATCTCATGACCCAGGAGAGTCATTCCGAAACTAGGATACTATCGGATTCCGACAAGGCTCAGACCGTGAATATACCAAATATCCATGGATTCCAATAAAACCAACGAAATCCTATAGGATTCCTCCGGGATCAGGACCTACAGTTGGATCCTTGGTGTAGGAATCCCATAGGATCCAGTGTTGGAAATTAACGGAATCCGACATGAACGTATGACCCTAGTGTTCTTATGAGAAAATATGCATATTCACCCCTAATTAAGAAAATGTTTTTTTTTTCCGTCGGAGCCGACAGTCAATCCGTAACCCGGAATCTCATCAGATCCTATCGGATATGTCATAGGATTCATTCACCTGGGGAGTCAACAGTTTTTTTTTCAATGATCAGATATTTCTTGTCTTTCTTTTTTTAATTTGATACATATGATATATAAGTGTAATAAATCATACCACACAATCTTGATGATATTCTTTTTCAGATATGAAAATGTATCATATTCATTTACTTGTTGTGGTACGCCTTCGAATTAATCAGGAAAATTTTTTATTTAAATTTGATTATATTTTTCTGATAGAAACATCATAACTCATAAAAATCTAACTATTAAGATGAATTATATTCAGTGAAACAATTTTTTCTGAAACCTATCTTGGAAGTTATACAACCAGATCACCCAGTGAAAAATGTTCATACAAAAATCGAAGACAACGCATTCTGATTGAGAACAATGTAGAACCCATTCCATAGCTTCTGAAAGGTTTTGTTTTCTTTAAAAAGTCTTTCGCATTTTTTGAATATGTTATTGAGCCTTTTGCTTTCGAACGCTGAATAAAAGGCTTCCAAAATTTGATCGAAAGACTCGCACAATTTTTTTGTTTTGAATCGTATATTAAAAGTAGACGATATTAAATCAATTCTATAACATAATTGAATACTAAAGGACAAGCATTATATATATTCACTTGTTTAATTCGAAATTTTCCGTTTTTTGGAAAGCATTATCTACCGTTTTTTATGAAACTTTTTCACTGGTTTGAATTTGAAACGGTATTTTGTTATTTAGTAATCTTTTTCATAAAAATTGCCAATATTTGCACGATTTTGATAATATTCTAGATCGGAAAAAGAAAATTCAGCGATTCTTTTATTTATGTAAAACCAAAAGGTGTTACTTTTTATTTGATAACAGTCTCTTCATTTTTGATCTGATTGAAATTTCCAATTGAAAATAAGATTTCAAACATTAAGAAAATTAATTTTATTCTATAATATTTTGAAAACGAACTGTATTCTTTAAGATACATTAATGTGTATAGAGCTGTCGTCAAGAAAACTTTAACTTTTATCATTGTTTACGATGAATACCGAAGAGATTTTAATTAATTCGCCATCGGAACCTTGTGAACGAAATCATCAACGGTATTCGCCATGGGCTCGTTTTCATCCATTAATTGTAATTCCATTTTTGGTTATGTACTTCGTGCTCGTGGTCCTCATTTTGAAATACGTCATACTTTTCATCGTATGTAAACGATGCTTATCACTTAGAATATTTTATCTTCTTAATGATTTTTAGATGATAACAAATGGTTCAATGCGAATATGTGCTTATATGATACTTGTTGTCGCATTAATTATAATTTCATTGCTAATTATTCATGCCGCCGAGTACTTTATGGATGTTTTGGTGAGTAGATTTCGAAACAAAATCAAAATTCTGTACAAAAAGAAAAGATATGTTTTCTATATTAATTGGTAGGAAAGATGATATCCTATCGTTCTCAGATCCGTTGTTGTCTCTCTCTCTCTCTTTGTTTCTTTTTTTGCAGTGTAACAAAATGAAATAAGATTTTTTAGAAGAATTTTCAACAATGAAAAATCTTAAATTTTTTTGCATTTGTTCTACTGGAATTTGAAAAAAAGAACTTGAACGGAGTTAGGAGAAACACATCATTGCAGAAAAATTATTTATAAAACTATAAAAACAATTAATTAGTTATAAATATACGCATGAATAAAAATTTGCTAAGAAATTTTCACTTAGACTAGAAATATTTTTGAGACAAAATTCGATGTTTTTTGAGTCGAATAAGTCGTTCATATCTTGTTTTAAATATCATGGCTAATAAAAGGTATCTTATATTGTTCTAAACGTGCGACAAGAGAGGTCAACTAAAATTGCTTTTTAAATGTCTGAAAATAAAACTATTGCGAATATGTTTTTGATTCTTTATAGTCGAATAAAAGGAATTTCTACTATTTAAGAGTATAAATATTAAATTTTGATCATAATCAATTTTCTATTTTATTTGTTTAATAGTCGATCTTTTTCAAAAGCAACAACTCTTCTGATTCGACAAATAAACAATCTAAAAGGAGATCTGTTTTATTTACCATCAAATCTTATCTTGGCAAATTTAACCATTGGCGTGTTCTCAAGAGCAACTATGAGTACAAGCAGAATCAAAATTCTATCGCTCTAGTTGATGTTGTTTAACTTAGCATATTGTTTTTCTTGTATTTCTATATATGACTAGTTTAGTTTCATCAATTAATGTAAACCATTGTATCATATGATCATAATATTATCATGTTATTTTTGTCAGTTAATCAATACAATATAAATACATAAAATAATGTAGAAGTTATCTGAAACGATCTTTTAACAACCCTTCCATACTCAACAAACCTGATCGATTTAATTCTTTCTAGTTTATTGAACGGTTATTGGAAGTTTGTTTTATATTTTTCGTTGAAAGAATTTATTAGATAATTATTAATATAATTAAGTAAAATGTCTTAAGTTTGCATTAGAAATAAAGATCTATACGTTCTTACGACTAATCGATTCAAACATCTAAACATCTTATTCGGTTTATTAATTTCTTTTTCATTAACATCAATTTCAACGACAATCAACGAGATGATTTTATATATTATTTCATTCTTTAGTAAAGAAGAAAGAATTATTTGTTTTCTTTCAGTTTTTTTCAATAGTTTGATAAAGGCAAATAAGATGAATTGAGAAGAACAAGTTTTAAAAATAATTCTCACTTTAAATATATTCAATAAGAATAATTGTTGATCGAATTTAAAAAAAATGTCTTTCATTTCAATACGATGTCCATAACGCGTTTATTTATCTTCAATTATCTAATAAGATTGATTATTGTTGACAAAAATAAAATGAACTTTATTCGTGAATGCTTGTTGGCCACGTTCATGTATGAAATAATGATGCCAGGAAGACAATCGAGAAAGATAGATAAGAGAAACGATAGAGCTGGGTAGGCTCAAAGTAGAACAGATAAAGGCTGGTGTAGACGCGAATCTAACATAGATTTGAGGAGATTAGATTTAGGCAAACTTGAAATAGGCACACCAAGGACTTGATAGGCTCGATAAAATATAAAATTTTCTACTAATGCTTATTTTCATAGTTTCTCGACCAATGCCCCCGGTCGAAGAAAACGAACCTTATACGGTCGTATACGATACAAATACGGCCCGTTTTACGTGCCGCATTTTCCCTGTATAGCAGGGGCAGTAATACGGCCGTATGTTCTATAGAATACGATAATATTACGCCGGCTTTACGAGGTTTTACGACTGATATACGGTGTCCGTGTATGGCCGTAATACTGTTCCTGTTAAAACGCCTTAATTCGGTTTAAAACGGCCGTTTTACGACGGAATACGATGCAAAAACGACCGTTTACGGTGGTCCGTTTTGATCGACCTGGGATGGCGTACTCTAAGATTTTCAGTCCATATTTCAGCTACTTCTAACTCTTGTTCAATGATATGTTTTTTGAATTTCATTGACATGTAATTAGATTGACGTTGCATTGTTTCTTCTTAGTATAGAACAATTGGATTTCTTTTTCCAATATTCTATTTAAAATAGTTTTTGAATTTTATCCCTGCCACAAAAACCAGGTAAATTGTAGAGGCCAATCGCATTTTACTCGAAAAATTGCCGACGAGTAGCTGCAATAGAGTTGGCTAATAGATCAGTAAAATCGTTGGCTTTTTTTCGGTTTTCACTACATTACTAAATGTTTGAAAAAGTTGCTCTTTTCCTGTCGCAATACCAGATAAACAAAATCAGACTTTACCTTTCTTTCACAATAAAGCACGAAGCCCACTAGTTTTCATGAAATTTCATCTTCTAGTTTAATTCTATTTAACAATTCAAATGATAACTAAAAGTGAATCATGGTTATGAACAGAAATGCCATAGGTAAAACTAATAAAAATCTCACTATCGACTTGATGAAGCGCCTGCACTGATTTTATTTAAAAAGATCAAGACAGGAAACGTTTTTTAGCTACGAAACAGGTCTATTTCTTGTTAGGCTATTTTTTCTAATGCTTTTTCAATAACACTTTGCAGTTAATTGGTTATAGTTTCTGTGCTCTCGGGTGTAATCATGCATTAGATACTTATCACGTTGATAAATAATCAAAATCTAGCCAGAAAATCGACAACGATCATCATTGTAAAAAAACAAAAAACTTTTCAGCTGGTTCACATTCATAAATACAACATTAGGGCTGGAATCAGATTGAAATGAATAAAGCAATTTCTTATACTAATGAGGTTTTAATCAATTTTCAAACCGTCTTTATCAAAAACAACGTAAAAAAAGATCGAAATTTCATGGATTTCCGAAATTCACACTGATTATATTCGATTAAGATTTGATAAAAACTAGAGTGTCACTGGTGCAAACTACGTTAAAACTTTTCATTGATCATAGAGAAAAAAATTAAAGTCTTATGATAATAATCAAATTTGAATCCTGTATTTTTACATCGACAGACATAATTTTCCCAAAAAAGTGAGCCTACTCTAGACTGGAATCATTCTGTCGTCTCCATATCGGTGTGCTCAGGCGTTATTTAAAATAACTATTAAAAGTGGATATCATAGCACTAGTGTACTGTGTGATTGAAATTTTTGATCACGATCACGATTTTTTTAAAATAAAATTGACGATCACGAATATTTCTATGTGATTATAAGAGGTACGAAAACGTTTTGGTCATTCGGTTGCAATATTTCCCCAACGTATTTCATTCGGTACATTCAATGTTAATAGAAATTAACAATCACAATCGATAGCTTCATTTGTATTCTATTGGAAATTCTTTGAAAACATAATAAATTTTAATAAATATTTGAGATTTTGAAACGATATGTTAAATTCGTGATCATGAAATCTTAATGTCGTTCACGATAACGATAACGAGTTTTTTTTCTCAATCACGACTACGAACACGATCACGAGCAAAAGACATTTCTTACTCACGGGCACGATCGCGCAGTGCACTACATAGCAATAGTACTACGGTAAAGTAAAAGTGAAAAAATGAATTCATTACATTTTTGAAATACCAAAAAGTACTGAAAAGTCCCGAGAGGTACCGAGAAGTACAAGAAGTGCAGAAGTCCGCTTGTGCCCCCTTGGAAAAATGGCCCTTGGAAATATAATTCACCATTCATAAGATGAGGATAGACTATAGAATTACGAAAAGTTTCAAATTTTAGTTTAATTAATTCAATATTCATAATGGCGTCAGTTTATTTACAAACATCATTTCTTATAATTTGAAAATGATCATCAATTTCTGATAGGATCAATTTTATTAAACCCATAGATCAGATGATTAATAGTTGCTTAGAAATCTTCAAATATTTACAGATTCCGTGAATAAATAGGTTCATCAAGGTAATCAATATCTGCAAATATTTCATCGCGTATCTCGGATTATCTTTCATTGATTTACGTTCTGGTGTTAATTTTAATATACGTAAAAATAATTTTTTTATAATTGCACCTGTTCGACATTTAAAAGACCAACAAAAACTCTCATTTGGTTGATGCTTTCGTACAGACACATACTCAGTTGTTAACTATCTCCTGTTGAGGCGGCTTAAATTTGAAAGAAATACCAAAGAAGGATAATCTTTCCTAAAAACACTTCAATCAGGATTCATGGGGTGATGTGACAGATACTTGTTCGTTAACATTGATGCTGACTTTTTTCTTCTTCGTCTTCTTGTAAATGCATTTTATCAAGCAGAACTTCAGTTCACCACCTACACTCTCTTGTTTATTTCTATTCATTAATCATTGGAATACAAAAGAAAATGACTGATCAATTATTCTTCAATAAATAAGATGTATTCTAAATTTGATTAATCAACATCTGGTTATTCGATCTTATTCATTTATTTTATAGAGAAACTTTTAGAACAATTCTGTATTGTTTATCACGGATATGTATACATTTACACGCAATTATCTGCCTCTTCTCTGATTCTCGTAGGCGAAAATAAGATCAGTCAATACAAGTAGCCAGACACACACACACACACATTCTCTCTTGCAGATAAACGTTTGAACAAAATGTGTTTATCTAACGATCATTTTTCTATGTATTCATCTTTTTTTTGTACATTAACACGTTTATCCGCCGATTTCATCGAAGACTAAATAGAGAACAATGATTGCGCGTGACGAGAATCCATGCAAATGTCGTTCAACGGATACATTGTTGAAAGGATATAGCGTTAGCATAGAAGTGTGTCTCATTCTTTCTTTTTTTTGTTTCCCCCCCTATCTATATCTAATCAATATGAACATGTGCATGTCTACGCTGTCATATTTGTCTTTATTTTATCGTAGAAAGCATTTCGAATAATAAGAAAAAGAAAGATTAGTATCACATAATCAAGTAAGTAATGAAATGCTTTCTACAATCTTTTGTTGTACATCATCTATAATACAGTGTCGGATAGAATAAGATATCTGATTTATCATATCGTAGCTGTTAGTTTTTTTTGATCATCACATCGTCGTTTGTCTTTCATCAATACCATCTGTTCTCTCCTTTTTTTGCTTTACTCTCCTGTCTTAACAGATACAAGTAGCTTTTGTTTCATCATCTCATCTATTGTTATGCTTTTCTATACACTTCATTTCATCTTATTTATAAATAATTCAATTTTTCAATTGATATTAATCATTAATCATCCATAAAAATATTTTAGTAAACATCGCCTGATGAAATTATTAATAGAAAAACAAATAAAATCGAATATTCTCAAGCAAATAATTTTGACGTGACTAGATTTATAAAGCAGAAAGAACAAAACAACTGCAACAAATTAGTCAAGCAAGATATGCGACATGATCATTATTAGTTTTAGGATCGATCATCATATTGAAATTATGACAAGCTTATCATTTATTCGTCCTATCAATCATAGTGTGTTTTGATAGAGAGATGATCATAAAAAAGACACTCACAACAAAAAAAGAAGAAAAAGAATTGATTTTTTTTCTCTCTACTGCCAATTAAAGCCAATAGTGCCATCGGTCATGTTATATTCATGACAGTAATCGATAGGCAGCAATAACAGATTCAACGTCAATATTTGTCTGTATGTGATGATGACCTCTCTATTTGTATCAAGAAGACAAATGTATCTGCATGTGTGTTTAAATAGGAGAAAGAGGCGAAGAATTACTTCGAACTACAAGCAACTAGATGATTATATGATGCTGCGCTTAAATGTTTATTGAGATTCTTAACGATAATCAACGCGCAGATGTTGAATTCTTAATCCATTTGCATATTATTTGAAAATGTTGGCTAACGGCCAAAAGTTTTTATTTTTTTGAAAAAGGAAAAGAATGGACATAGTTCATCGTGCCCGCTGCTTTTTTTAAACAGAAATTGAAACACCTTTTATGACCAACTGTCACGCTTACCTTTTTTTTTCTTTCTCATTTTTTTTTGTTTAAGTGGTGCTCGATGCATTCACTTTTTTTCCCATCATCATGTTGGACGAGCATATGAATAAACGTGAGTAGTGACGCGGAAGCTCTTTGCTTGCGGTTAAAAAAAAAAAAGAAAGAAAACCTGTTGTAATGAGCCCCACCGTACTAATTCCTGATTGGAGTGTCGTTCTAACTGAGTTCACCTCTACAGTTGCTTTTTCCTTCTCTTTCTTCTTTTTTTTTTCGGTGATATGTTCCTTAATTATCCTCTCTGTCTGCTCGTTTTTTTTCTCTCTCTCTCTGTCTCTCCATCTCTCATTGCTTTTCTTTTCCAAAAATATCTTTGGCCATTCGTCGATTTGTTTCCTTCTTTCTCTTAGATAGTTCAGTATCGACCGCAAAGCGGACACGTACGCATTCATTCTCGTTCCATCAATCTTAAGACAAAGAAGAAAAGAAGAATATGTCGAACACAGAAGTTCAAAATAGTGAACGCCTTCCGATGTTATCAGCAACTGAAGAAAACGTTAATTCAAATCCACCCGTTTCAGTTTCGGTATCAATTGAACCGGCGACGACTATTGTCAAAAAGTAAGGCGACTTGATAAGATGTACCATTATTTTCTTACTATTAATAAAAATCATGTTTATTGTCTAGAAGTGTTGATTCTAATGCTAACTCTGAGGATAATAATAATTTTACTCAACTTGTTCGACCACTATTAGTTGAACTCGTACGTATAGAAAAAAAAATAATAAAAAAATTTTTTTTTGGAATTTTTTTATTTTCATCTATTAGATCGGTACAACATTGTTTGCTCTTATTGGTTTGTGGGGTGCTTGTTCAGGTGGTGGTTTGATCGCTAATGCACTATCATTTGGTTTTGCATTAATGGTATTCACAGCTTGTTTCGGTCATATATCAGGTGTTCATTTTAATCCAGCAGTTACAATTGGTGTTTTGATTGCTGGTGAAATGCAACCGGTTTTGGCTATTCTCTACTTTGTCGTACAACTTTTAGGAGGTAAAGATCGTTTTTTCTTTATCTCTTATGTTCAATTTTATTTGAACAAAAATCTCCGTAGGTATTGCTGCTGGTGGTCTTTTACGTTTATTACTTACAACAAAGACTTATGAAGCATGTAAAGGTGGAGCTACATTATTGACAACATATGCTGCATCAAATGTAACAGGTGCTAATGGATTAGTTCTCTATGCTCCTGAAGAAGTTCGCATTTGGCAAGTATGTATTGAAAAATAAACAAAAAAAAAACGGTTTCTATTGGAGATGTAATTTCTTTGTCTTTTTTTTTCTAAAGGGAGTTATAATTGAATTCATTGTTACATTCGTTCTTGTTACTGTCCTTATCATGGTTACAATAGATACTAAATCAAAAACCGGCCTTGCATCACTTGTAATTGGTTTAACATTAGCTGCTAATATTCTTGCCGCGTAAGTTATAAACGATAGCTTTTCCAGTTTAAACGATCTTGCTGTGTTTGTCTAGTGGTGCTTATACTGGAGGTTCACTTAATCCAGCTCGTTCACTTGGTCCAGCTATCTTTGCTGGTCAATGGCATAATCATTATGTCTACTGGATTGGTCCACTTGTTGGAGCTGTCGTCGCTGGTCTTCTCTATCGGTAAGATAAATATCTAGAATGAAAAAACAAAGCGAGTTACTTAACAAAAACTTTATTCTCTTTTTAGTACTGTTTGGGCACATCATGATCGTCGTATGTTTGTTAAACGTACATCAGCACCAACAACATCATCAGCTGAAAAACAATAAATATAATTGAGCATTTGGAAAAGATATACACATACACATTTTGTTTTCTTGTATCTGTGTTGTGAATATTAATTAAATAGAATTAATTAAGCAAAAATTTGATGTCTATACTGTTTTGATGTGTTTATTATTCGTTTGGCTTATTTTCTCATAAATATTTTCTAAATCATTTTATGGTTTTGTGTGTGTGTGCGTGTGTATATATACATAGACTAGAAATCATGATTTTACTTTTTTTTTGTTAGCATAGAAAATGTTTAGCGTGAAATTCTATTTGTCTTACTTGTTGCTCAACTATCGATGGAGAATGAAAGCAAAAAAATAATAATTCGTTGTGTTGTGTGTATATCAAAGATATTCTATTGAAATAAATAAATTTCAAGAAAAACAAAAACAAAACTTTCTATTAAGATGTAATCGACTTAATGTTTAGAGATGTGATCCTATGCTTACTGTCAAATTTCGATTACTGAGAAAGAAAATCTTTTTCTTGCCGGTATTCATAAATTTTTGTCATTTCCGGTTGAAAATCATGTTTTTGAACTCGAGAGGCCATTAACAAAACAACGGAATAGTTTTCAATTAGAATAGCTTAGCAAATGGACCTTAGTGATTTGACCGATTAGGTCAATGTACTTGTGGTATCGTTAATACAAGCTGTCCCTAGTGGATGGAAGATAATGGCAGAGTGAACAGGTCAAATGCATTGATTTATAATAGAGAAAAATCATCTAACTGATTAATATCCAATTTTTTAGGAAATATCTTATGAAATATGTGACATTGAATTTTTTTTATTTTGACGAATTGAAATCATATAGATTGCTATTTTCTTTGCTAATTTAATCATACGTGATATTCAAAAATGGCAGAGGGAAAGCGAGAAAGTTAAACCATCTAGTCTCATATGTGAGAGAAGCGGAGTGTTAGAGTTTTCTACTTCTTTGATACAAAAAATGGCTCTTTTCTTCTTCGCCAAAGTGTGCTAGATGATAAAAAGAAAATGAATTATTTATATGATTCTCTCATTTTCTTTTCAAGAGTTCATGTGTAATGTTTTTTTTTCTTTCACCACTTGTTGAAAGATTCCCGTCAGCATAGTCTAGAAATATGAAGTCGTTTTAACAAATTGTTAGAAAATTATCGAAAGAGCAGATTATGTAATGTGATGATGGGAAAAGGATAGTAAGTTGAACGTGATGCATTTGTATTCTTTCTTTGTCTACCAATGAATGCCACATATAAAGAAACATTCCATCGTTGTTTTGTCATCAAGAGAAAAAAATTCTATAAATAACCTTTTAATTATGATGAAGAATCGACTGTGTCAACGCAACATGATGATAGTTGCGCAATCAAATAACGCTAACTTTTCTAGCAGATTGTTAAGTTTTCACTTTCTTGTTCTATACAATATCTTTTTCCAGCTAATATATTATAATGTGACAATGTTGAATGCCATAATTTTTTATATTTCCTCATTATTTGTGCAGAACTCTATTGAAATTATCAGGCTAAAAATTTTCTTTTTCTAAAATAAAAAGGTCAAATTTGTCTAACACAACTCTGTGCAACTATAACATGTTAAATTTTTATGAGTTCGCTTTCAACTAATAGCACAGACCTGTCACATTAGAATAAAAGATGTGATGCGTGTTCTAACGTGCGACAGAATGTAGTGTACATTAAAAAGTGACACGAGGTGCCGGTTGTAATGCATTATTTAACGTAACGGTATGGCACATTATGAGAAGTGAAAGGTTCGATTTCATCGATGGTTGGTTGACTTCAAGATTTTTTATGTAAAAATCCTTATGTTGAGTTTTTTTTTTTGTCAAGCCTATTTCTGTACAGCAGAATCAGATTCTGTTTCTAATTAGAAACATCTATTTGGACTTACTTACAAAATGTATTTTGAAATTTGAAAATGTCATTTTGATACACGTATATCTAATATTATTTTAAGGCTATTTGACGTGATGACTCTTTTTTTCAACAAATTTTTAAATGCTCGTTTTCATTTTTCAAATGAGAATTTTTAAACTCAAACAACATCTAAATCCAATCAACACATATCCAATCATGAATGCGAAGTTTCGATATGCCTATTTTTTTACTGCATGTCATAACCCAATATCTTGATCGTATAATCGAAGGATACAGTTAATGACGTTGATAAAAAGGGCAACCGTAAGCGGTTGCCGAATACGACGAGAATGCTGCACTGTATGCCAAACGGAGATAAACGATCGTGGTACTAAGTCATGTATACAGTTGTATTTCACGATTTACAATCCTTTACGGTTGTACTTGTTTTACCGACGAAGTTTGAGAGGTAAGAAATTGAAAAGTGCAATTTTGGAAGGTTTCAACAAAAGTATTCGATTCCGTCAAACGCTTCGGCTGACTATCAATTCAAATACAAGTATCGAAAAAAAATAAAAATAAAAACAATTATCATACTTTCATGAGGAATTGGTGTTTAATGAAAAGAATGATGTTTTTTATAATCTAACCAGTGTCTGATCGAATTTACTGATAAAGATAAAAATAATATTTACTTTTCATTAATGGTCAGAAAATTGACAAGGTTTGCGTTGTCTTCTTCTTGAACTGTATCGAATAACAATTAAGTCCCTATGGCATCACCACATCACGCTGTAGTCAAAAAGAAAAAGAAAAAGATACGAAATTTACTGTAGCGATGAACTGATCCTACGAATTTGAAATAACCGATTTTCTTTTTTAACATAAAGTCAATTAACATACATTTCAGATTATCAATTTATTCAATCAATGATGATTGTATGAAGAAGAAAAAAAATTCCGTTTTCTTTCATATTTATCGACTTAGTAAAATATTCTGACAGATGGTGTTCCATCTTTTAATCATATGTTTGTATTCAAAAAAATAATAAAGCCCAAAAGTGGATCTTACAGCCCCCCTAGGCGTTTTCCAACCAACATTCTAAATTATTGGTACTGATTAAGCAATATGCATTTTCTAAACATATTTTTTCTGTTTGAAAATTTCTTTAACTTATTACGGAAATTCTAACGCGTTGATTTGTTTTTCAGCGGCATCTTTCACATCGAATTTGATTGGTGAATTCTGGTACTGTTAGCTGAATAGAAAAGTTTAGAAAGAATAACAAGGGGGCAGAAGGGTACATCGATTGTTTTCTGTTTTCTCATATTTATATTCTAATTGTAGACAATGAGCAAATCCGATTCACGTAAACGACATCGTACAACAAGTGGAAACAGCGATTCCGACTCCGATTCAGATTCATCACAGTCAAAAAGTAAGAAACATTCATTCTTTTGACATCATCGTAATTATTACGCTCTAATCAAGAAATCTTTACTGATGGTTATGATGAAAATTATCGTGGAGATTCAAATGATCGAGCTTGGCTGAAAACCTTGTCCGAACGTGAGCGTGAAGCTGAATTATTAAAACGACATGAACAACGTGAAATAATCAAACGTCGGTAAGAGTTCGATTTTCTTCACGAAAAAATATTTATATTCATTTTTGTTTTGTTTTGTTTCTAGTGAAGAAATCAATAAAAGACTCAAGTCAAAAGCCGAAGAATCCGGTATCAAGAGTGAAGAAGAAGGTGAAATCGATGAACATGATGATGATGATGGAAGCGATCACGACAAAACATCTGATCATTCTACACGTAAATCAAATTTATTTGATAACGATATTTATGCAGAAGATGATGATGATGATGATTATCGAAAATTAACAAATCGACGACAACAAATCAATGCTACAAAGCAAAAAGAAACTGAACATAGTAAATCACTTCAAATATTAGTGGAAGGAAGAAAGAAACGACAAGGTAAACGCGTTTTTCTAATCTATTATCAGAAACAAAGAAAAATGGATTTTCCTAAATTCGAAAACTTTCCATTGAAAGAAAAATCGCAGAATTAACTGTTAGATTTGAGGTGGCATATTGATGACAAAAAGGAAAGAACAGGCTGTTACATTTCGTTTTTTGGTACCATTGAATTTTTTTTCGCATATTGAAATAATCCCATGTCCTTGATTAGCCCTATATCACTTGTATAATGTGCCGGCCGGATTATTCTCGATGTTTCTGTAAGTAATTGAAAATATTCTCTTACTCATAAATCAAAATGATTTACTATAATGTTTGTTTGCGATCAATATAGATTGAATTATTCTTTTGTCTTAGATGATAAACACAGAAAATCTGTAGTTAAATCCGATGATGCTTCCTCGAGTGATGAAGATAGTCCTGTAAAGTCAACGAAAACAAATAACAAAGATGAAATCTGGAAAGTTGATGATGTCTTTCCAACGTCGAGTTCTGATGATGATGACGATGATGATAGTCGTGGCGATTCACACCATCGTCGTCGATCGCGGTAAGACAAGAAATTCTATTTTCAATGATAATATATATTTTTGTTGTCTAGTTCACCTGATGATCGAACCAGTGATTCACAAGAGCAAGAAACAAAACGAAAAAAATGTACATTCATAAGCACAAGAGATCAATTAAAATCTATGATACTATCACGTTTTCGAATGGAAAAGTAAGTGAATCATTTGTTTTTCTCTTCATTAATGTTTTTTTTTATAGATGGTGTCATTCTCCGTTTTTTGCTGACGTCGCAAAAGGTGCATTTGTCCGTATTAATATTGGTCAAAATAATGGTGAAGCTGTTTATCGAGTAAAAACGTTTTAGCACTCAAAATTATGCAAAATTTTTGATAATAATAATAATGATTGATATAGGTTTGCGAAATTCGTGATGTTGTAGAAACAGGAAAAATTTATAATCTCGGTACAACACGTACAAACAAAGGCCTTCGTTTAAAGTATAAACAAAAAAAATATTGTTTGAGTTGTTTTTGAATACTTTTATTAGACATGGAACTAATGAACGTATATTTCGACTTGAATATGTATCAAATAATGAAATATCTGATGAAGAATTTCAACGTTGGAGAGAAGCAATGATCAAACAAGTAAGAAGAAGGAAAAAACCCGAATGCTTTATTGTGTAGACAAACTCGCTCATTTCTATTTTTAGGGTATTTCATTGCCAACATTGGATGATCTTGAAAAGAAAATCAATGAAATCGAAAAATATAAGCATTATGTTTATAACAATACAGATATAACCAAAATAGTACAAGAAAAAAAACGCTTTCGTAAAGCACCAATAAATTATGCTGTAACAAAAAATGAATTATTGAAAGAAATTGTATGTTAATTTTTATTTAAATAAGTCAACATTTAGTGTGTTGATGTATTTCTTATTTTAGGAAATAGCAAAAGACGAAAATGACACAGAACGAGAAAATGAATTAAGAAAACAGCTTACTGAAATGGAAGAACGAGCTTCAGAACTCGATCGTAAAAGATCAGAGAATATTTCTGTTATGGCGTAAGTAACAAAAAGTGTGAGCGAGAGAGTGAGAAAGAGCGAACGTGGTAAAGAACAGAATGAGTAATAAAAACGAGGTCAAAAAGAAAAGGAGAAAGAAAAAAAAAGGTATGAAGGGTCGAAAGATACAATGTGGTCAGACACGTCAATGTTCAGTCTATATGGGTTATCGGTATATAAATCGTTATGCGTTGTTATGCTTCATTATTTTTTCATTTTGGTGGATTATTTTTCGTTGTAAAAATAATAACTGTGAAGATTGTCAACGAATAATATCAAAAGATGAATCAATCGGATCCTATGATATACCGAATATTGTACATTTTATTACCTGTCAAGGTGATGCATCAGAAACAGTACTCGATGAACTTGGTCCACGACTTGGTTATCGTCGGATGGAGCGAGCTCCTGATGAATTTCAATTGATCAATTATCTCGTTTTGCTTTCCGCTCGTAATAAAATCAAACCCGATCAATTATATGTTCATTATTCTTTCGAACCAACTGGCTACTGGTGGACAAAAGCTAAGCAAGATCTTGAACTAAATTTAACGCTTAATAAAATTCCTTCGATAACATCAATCTATAATCATCCACTATACCATCACGCTCATCGTACTGATATAGCACGTCTAGAAATTCTTGATAAATACGGTGGTATTTATCTTGATCTCGATGTTCTTTCTTTAAAATCATTCTCATCATTAACATCGAATCCGCATCACGTTGAAGCTATATTTGCTTGGGAAAGAAAGAAATTCAATACTATATGTAATGCTGTTATTATAGCACCAATTCATTCAAAATTCCTTCGACGTATTTATCATTCCTATCAAAGTTTTAATTCTTCATGTTGGGGTTGTCATTCAGTGGGGTTAACAGGCCAATTGGCAAATATATATAAAAATGAAGTTCATGTCTTACCTTCGAAAGCATTTTTTACACCGTCATGGTTCAATATTGAAGAATTATATTTGTATAATCGCTATAATTTTAAAAATAATTATGCATCTCATCTATGGAATGCCTATATAGGAAAAACATTTTTATATAATCTAACATTGAATTCTATATTAAACCCTAAAACAAAGACGACATTGATTCGCATGATTACTCATGCCGTCGGAAAAGAGAAATTAAATAATATTGCGCGAGAAATTTCAGTTTAAATAAATAGTATTGAATAGAAATTTGTACATTTTTTTCTTCTTCTTCTTCTCCTTCTTAGTCAAATTAATCGAAGAAATCGCGCAAGTACACAGAAAAATATTGAAATAGCTTTAACTGTAAGTAATGAATTTTTCAAAATTGTTTCAATTAAAATTTAATCCTATAGCGTGAAGCTCAAGAACCTCGAAATTCAGCAGCAGATCCTTTTACACGTCGTCGGTGTGCCCCAATGCTTGTAACACAAGTAAATATTTCAACAAGAATAAAAGGAAAACCCTATGAATGAAGTTTATTGATTTTAGACTCCACTAATTCATTCAGCAGAAGATCTAAAACGAGAAACAGAACGACGTGAAGCACAGACGAAGAAGAAAAATGAAGAACAACGTTCAACAGTAAAAACAAAAAATCACTCAATTTTCGAAAAAAAAAGATTTTGCATCTATCATTTATATTTAGAATGAAAAAAATAAACTTTTAATAACAAAAGATACAACAACAAAAATTACCACTCATAACAGAACAGATAAACCAGTAAGACATGTCGAAATTTACCTGCGGTGTTTTTCCAACCAAAAGTTTATCGTTAGATTACACAATCAGAATGAAATTTTTCTTGTTTATAAGCTTGGTTCTACTCATGAAATGTATCAATTCGTTGTACGCTGCTCTGGATATCAACAGATGACACCTATCGGGATGCATAAGATTCATCAAAGGCCAATGAGTAAAAACTGACTTACAGGAAATTATCTTATCAGTTAATTTTTAAATATCTCATCTATGAGCCATACTGATTCATAGCCCTAATTCGCACATTTCCTCGATACATCTACCAATGACATTTGTTTTAGTCCGAAAGACAAGCTTCACAATATGTCTAACGATTTTTCTTCACCAGGTTCTGCTTCACAAAATCATAATTTGTATACCGAGAGAAAAATGAACTGGATAAGCGAAATCCGTTCTTTCGTTCATGATCTTCATATGGACGTCAAAATTTTTTTCTAATCACTAATTGTCTGAAAAGATTTTTTTTTCGGAAATGATTTAATATTTAACTTCAAATGTTTTCCTATTTCTTTTTAGCATACAGAAAAAAGTTTTACAATGACAACTGGTGAACGTGGTTCATTTACATCATTTTCCGAGCATAGTGATGAAATGTTCGCATCTCATGATTTTGAACTGGATCTAAATATAAAATTGTTTCCTGATTAACGAAATTCTTAGTTAGATTTGTTTGATGTTGTATACCTATTTCCACTTCAAACACACTCGGTTGTTTTTTTTTGTTTGTTTGTGCTTGTATATGTAAAACTATATATAGATAGATATATATATTAAAACAGAACAACAAACAAAATTATTGTGTATTTTCTTTTCAGATTATTTAATGGAATATTCAACGCATGTATTTATTCAACAAACACCTGTTACAGAACAAAATTTTGAATTAAAGTAAATAGAAGAAAAAAAAACTTATAATTGTTTTATTTCGTTCGTTTGTTGTAATAGACTTCAAGATATATCTGATCAAATATCGACAAATGGTTGTGTATGTCCAAGTGTATTTTCACCATTTACAAATATTGTTGTGCAACAAGCAGTAGTTTCATCCCGGCATATTGCGTTTTTACTTCAGGTAAAATTAGCTTTTTTGTTAAACAAGATTGCAAAAAAACCAATTGAGTGCAAAGAGTGGAAGACTAGCCTGCAGTCGAAGATCATGAAAGATGATTTTGTCCTATTTTAATTCCGTCAGGACGTTTTTTTGAAAGAGATTTTTTTTGTTATTTAGGATGGTCGAATTTGTCGAGTATCATTTCGTGTTCAAGCTGATAAAATTGAACCGAATCCAACTGAAACAACAAAAAGTAAACCGAAACATATAACACCACAGACAATACGTCCTCAATCTCGTCAATCGATGCATCGTTCAAATAATTTTGATCGTCCAAGTTTTGAAAACCTTGTTTTATCATCAGCAAATCCATCTATAGCCGCACATAATGCTGCTGCTGCCGTTGCTAACACAACTAATTCAAGTGGTTCGAGTGGACAGGTTGATCTATTACCACAGTTGCAAGCTGGTTATCCATTGAGTCGACAGCGACATCATCTCATTCGAACAGCTCGAGGACGAACAGGAATTATATTTGGTTCGAGACCTTTAATACCAGCATCAAGTGTTCCCGAAGAATTAATCGAACAAGTAAAAAAGAATTTTTTCAAAGTAAACATTTTGCTTATGCATCAATTTCAATTGTTAGGTTCAAGTTGTTCTTCAAGGAAAATCACGAAATCTTATTTTAAGAGAACTACAAAGAACAGTAAGTTGAAATAGAAGAGAAAAAAAGGCAGAATTTCAATATTCTTTGTGTTTGTTTTTAAATAGAACTTAGATGTAAATATGGCTGTGAATAATTTACTTGCACGCGACGACGAAGGTGATGAAGATCTTGACGATGATTATGTTGGAGGTAGGAAAAACAAATTATATTGATATATTTTAATTATGCTGTTTTTCTTTTTTTCTTTTTAGCTGACCTCATCTCATTACTTGATGTTAATCCACATAATGAACATCCAGGAATCATACTTGAATCGGAATTTTTCGACGAGGCTGATTTCGCTTTACGTTATAGTAATATACAACGTCGAGTTGTTTCTGCTAGAATCGGAAATGCTGGTACGTATCCAATTTCAAATAATTCTAATATATTTCTCATCGGCGAGTTTTCCGTAGACATTGAATGTGAAAAATTTTCGAGGATATCTAAAACTCGTGATAATCAAAATTTTGAGCAATAAAAAAATTAAAAATAATGCATGCAGACGAAAAACGATGTCTATTGTCATAAGTCTGTTCAGGAACTTCTAGTAGACTTTAAAAATACTAGGATAATAAATGACCTCATTTTCTATTCTAGCAAGCAACACATCTGCTCCGACAGTCGCCTCATCAACTGCTGCTGCCATAAGTTCTTCATTGGGTGATCAATCGAATGTGTCCAACTCGAGCTCAACAAATCCTCAATCGACAACTAACTCATCCACAGTTGTAACACCATCTACAAGTTCTAATCCAACGAACACAAATTCTTCTGAACGTGATCGTAAACGAAATCGTTATGATCCACGTTGGCTCGATGGTTCGTTACGCGAAGAACTATTCGGCCGTATTGATCGTGAATTAAAACCCGATGATCTATCTATAGTAAAAGATAATACATCAGCGAAAACATCATCAATCCGTAAAGATCAAAATTCTTCATCAACAACATCATCACAAGCGAATCTACCTCCATATCAACACCAGACATCATCATCATCATCAACAACACAAAGTCCCATTGTATTCGGTGATCAATTACAATTCTGGACTGATCCTAATTGCGAAAATTCCTATCCACGTTTTACACATATCGCTTGTCTTTATTCCGAATTAATTGCTATTAATATCAATGGTCAATTATGTCAATGGAATTGGCAAGATGAATATCCATATCAAGATTCCGATAGTCCACATATAAAACATCCAAAAACTTTATTATTACAATTGATGAACGAAAAAATAATTAATCTATCAGCTAATATAATCCGTGCATCAATATTAACTGAAACAAATCGTATAGCAACATGGATTGATGAGTCTCTCGGTTCACAGGTTAGTTTTAAATTTCAACATTCACTCCAAGAACTTTCATCGACAATGACGTATCACATCGTCGATATTCAAACGTCACCATTGTATACAGTTTTACGCACAGATACAAATGATTTGTATTGGTATGGTTTATTACCGAATAAACCGCGTAAAAAATTACTGGAGCGTCTAAAAGAAAAAACACGTAAGAATCGTACGAACAATTCAACACAACAGCAGCAGCAGCAGCAGCAGCAACAACAACAACAAATCATTACGATTGGTTCATCGGTGTGTTTGATATCAAATCCATATTATAATCAGGGCGCATTAGCTTTTTATGTACGAGATGGACAACCCAAATTAGGACAATTAATGGAACAAGCATGGATGCTATCGAATACAGCTCGATTTCGTATTAAAATTCCCGAAACAACAACGAACAAAAATAAAGAGGATGATAAGAGTTCATTAGAAATGCCACCGCCACCATCACCGGCATCGTCAACATGTAGTGTAGATTCAAATACAAGTTTTGCATCGTCATTAAAACGGAAGAAACACAGTAATACTACAACAACGACAACAACAACAGCACCAGCAGCCACAACAAATGCAGGTGGGAATGGATCAAATCCATTTCTAATGACAATCAATGATAGTGATTCAAATGAACAACAGCTACAACATAGTAAAATTAAAGACGAAGAATATTGGCCATTGGATGAAGTTGTCTTTATCGAAGATTGTAAAGTAGCACCAATTGGAAAAGTTGTTAAAATTGATGGTTCACTTGTACTGGTTAAATTTCCATCGAAAAATACGAATAACACCGATACTACGGAAGCAAATATTGATATGAATAACCTTGAGAATTGTAGAATTCTTCGAAAAGATGATTTACAAGTAAGTTCTGCGTTTCCACACACGAAATCTAAATATTCTATTTGATATATCCGTTCAATCGAAGAATCCTCATCTTATTATTATTATTATTATTTATTTTCATATAGATCGTCAAAGGAAATACAATACCGAAAACTCCAGATTGTACTCTAGCAATTACCAATGCAAAACGAATCGCACTAGAAAATGGAAACTTATTAACATATTCCGTTGATAAAGATTGTAAGTTATTTGTTTTACTTTTTCGACGTAATACTTTTTTTTATTCTCTTATCTGTTAGATCTTCATACATTACAAATTCGAGATTCAACTATTTATTACATAACGTATGAAATAGGAAGTAATAATGGTCTATGTCGTTCGATCCGTCAAAATATTTTACCGTTGGTAAATAATCGTCAATCATTAATATCGTTTCTTGGCGGTTTTCCAAATGCTATACGATTATCAACATTAAATTCGATTGATATTCCACGTATTCTAATCGATGGTAATCATTTAATTTATCCGTTTATCTATAATCAAGATAGTACAAATTTAAAAGAACCTCAATGGAAAAATCTATTAGGCATTAATTATTTTTCTCAAGGAATCGTTCCATTGAAAAATGCGGATCATCTCAATAAGAATCACATTATATTAAATATAACACAAATACAAAAAGGAATATTAATCCCACATATACTTCGTTATGATATTGATAAAATACGTTCAATATTAAACGATATTGAAACGACAAAAAATCGAGATCTATTAAAATTAATCTTAGACGAACGTTTAGATGGCTGTAGAAATCTATTTCATGCCTGTGTTCATATAGCAACACCATTGAATAATAAAGAATATTCAATCAATGATGAGCAAGTTCAAACTGAAACAAATAATAATCTTAAACGGATTTCATTTGCTATTGATCTTCTTCATTCACAAACGAATACCGATCATAATTATGGTGAACGAACAACAACAGCAGCAGCAGCACCCACAGGTAGTACGTGGTCGAATGAATCATCCGCCGCTGATGCTCAACCGCCATCGTCACCAACAATGCAACCCGGAGCTGCACCAACTTTATATAGAGTAAGAATAATTCACTTGAGAATATCCTAGATATGAATTTTTTCTTTACTATCGTTATTGTAAAGGATGTCAGAGTTTTTTGCTTGTGTTAAAAGTACAGTTTTACTTGAAAATCATAATCCTAAAGGAATAAGCTTCATAGATTCGAGCCATTGCAAGGTTTTTATTAACTAAGTACTTTTCCGAGTCGGCTAGATCGTGAAGAAGGTGGAGGTTGACCTCGCGCTTTAAAATAAAAACCTAAACCATCAAGAGATAAGATTTGTTGGTGTATCTGTCTACGCTATGAAATATTAATTGCGATTAATTTTTCTAGAGTTTATCAACGAGTACACCAACCAATAATTCTGGTCCATTGTCTCCATCATACAATCCAACAAGTTTATCGTCGAAGATTCAACAAATTCAATACCTTCAAAATCAATTATACCAACAACCAGCGCGTACAACTCGAAGTAATTCAAATGATTTTCTCGTATGGTCATCGTGCAAATACGATGAACGTGAAAAGCGTATTCGTGCAATAAAAATTCTTCGCCTATTACTTGATTATCCACTATTTCAAGAACATTTATTATCATTGCTAAGTTTTCGTAATCTTGAAGGTCAAACACCATTTATGTCAGCTGTCAATTGTTGTGCCTACAATTGTGCTCTAATTCTATTTGAATATGCACTTAAAATTTCTAAACGAGAATCATCCAATGATCAACAAACATCATCAGCACAATTTTATTTTGAATCATCATCGCCATTGCCGACAACGGCAACAAATTATTTAAAACAATTCGATAATGTTCTACTTCGAATGATTTATCCATTGACATCGACTAATTCAGATTATTCGCCATTGTATACAATATGTACAAATGATACATGTTCATTTACATGGACCGGTGAAGAACATATCAGTCAAGCTATATTCGAATGCAAAACATGTGGCCTCTCAGGCACATTATGTTGTTGTAGCGAGTGTGCGCAAACGTGCCATAAAGGACATGATTGCCGTTTAAAACGTACATCGCCAACAGCCTATTGTGATTGTTGGGAAGTGTGCAAATGTAAATCATTGATAGCTGGTGATCAACAGAAACGTCTTGAACTATTTAAATTATTATTAAATCAAACCAATCTTGTTCAAATACAAAATTCACGTTATGAAAATATACTTCTATATTTAGTACAAACGGTCGGCAGACAAATAATTGAACAACAACAATTTCCTCGAACGTCAACCGCAGCATTATTGCAGCAACATGCAAGAAAATCACGCGAACAATTATCAAGTAGCGGGGCTAAAAAATTACAACATCAAAATTCATCATCAGGATCAGCATCTAATAATAATAATTCTAATTCAGCAAACCAAATGGATACAGACTCAAATAACGCTATTCCTGATCATCATTTAGAGCCACCGCAATTCTGTAAGTATAGATTGAATTTTGACACACGAGCGAAGACACCTAATAGATCGAATAAACTGAAATCAGCAAATGTTGCTATTTTGTGTTTTTCACTAAAAGCGTTTTATTATGTGATTCATTCTGTTTTTTTTTTCGTTTTTAGGTCGCCGTGCTCTTGAACTCATTCTAGCTGATTGGTCTGGTGTAAAAGCAATGCTGCTTTGTGGATGTTCCGAAAATCTAGATCCAACTATAATAAATCCAAAAGAATCTTTACCAATTCTTTCCACGTGCCCGCCAATCATGTCGCCCTATGACAATGAACATTTATTTTCATTAGATCAACAACAACAAACAAGTCAACTAGATCGTTTTACTTATTTTCTTCTTGCAAAATGTAATACCGTAAAACAATCAACATCTACAACAACAAAAAGTTCATCAACAACATCAACATCAAATGATCTTCTTGATATTCTACTAAATACATTAATACGCGAAATGTCCAATCCCGCTCATCGTGATATGGCTCGTTTTATTACCGCACGTTTTGTACGTAGTGTGATTCGTTTATTTATTATTTTAAGTCTCGAATCAGTTCCGGATAAAAATAGTTCTTCAACATTAAATCAATCGCTGCCATCAAGTACAACAATAAAACGTATATCAGCAACAACTGTTACCGGTGCAACAATAACGACAAGTTCAAATCTATCGTCATCAGCTGCAGCAGCAACTCTCAGTGGACCGCAATCAATTTTATTCCAATGTAAACGGATATTTCAAACATTGACTCTTATATCAATCAATGCACTTGTCCATACAGCTGATTTATTACTTGCACCTGTTCGCCATGGTATTGCTAAACCAACAGCTATGTTCAATCTCTTATCAACTCATACCGATATATTACAAGGCCTGGAAGAAGTTTTTAATATCGATTCCGAATATTATCGTGCCTATCAAGAGAGTAAATCAAATAATACGCAGCGTTCGTCTGAAAGTACATTTACTAGTGGTGTCGAAGATTTTAATGAAACTATTATTGATGAATCACAAAATCTAACCAATCCGATCAATGCAAATCAAACAGCAATTGAATTGAATGAAGATGATGATAATAATTCAGATACACAATCGCAACATGAAACTATACATCCAATAGGTATTTCAAATTTAAATGAACAACAGGCAGCACGTGACAATGTCGGTGGTTTAAGTGATAATGAAAGTGAAATGGAATTAGAATTGCTGGCTGAATCTGATACAGACAATGAAAGCAATCGCAGTGCACCGAATACAAATACACATCGAACATCGGCAACAGCCGGAAGTGAAAACATGGCTCTTTTTTCTGATGATGAAAATTCCGAATCCGATGATGCTGATAGTGTTCGAAGTGACAGTGTCTTAGGTGATGGCGATGAAACAAGTCAACCAGATCCGATGCTTTTTGATGATGCACGAGATGCTCTAGCTGCAGCTGCTGCCGCATCCTCAGCATCGACAGCGCCATCAACAACAGTACCAACACCAAGTACAGTAACAAATGATCGATTAGCTTTGCTACCATCAGGAAGTAATGCAACTGGTCAGAATACACAAACATCAAATTCGTCAGCTACTACGCACCTTAATGTGCCCAGATTAAGTGCTCGATCAGCCATGGCCAGTATGTATTTTCATATTCAAATAGATTGTATTCTATGCAACTAATTTTCTTCTAGGTTCATTATTTGGTGAAAGTCATTCACGACGTCAAATAGCCCCGGTTGCAACAACATCGCCAAGTTTAGGTCATGCGTCAGCTATTCAACAGCAGCAACAGCAAGCTCATGCCCAACAACAGTCGCAACCAACAAATACTATTTCAGTGAATACAACAAATTCTTTATTGGCTCGAGCTTTTGGAATTCTTATTCGACAAATAACTGATTTACTTATAAAATGGCCAGCAATGTTATCAGCGTCATCTTTATATCATGATATTGTGATCACATCAAGTACAGTTGATGAACAAAATGCTGTCGATACTATACAAGTAAGTAATATCCATAGATATTTTCACCGTTTGACATCGATAAGACTTTATGATGAAACATTCAAGATTAAGGCAGACTCGACCGTTCCTTTTTTCAACTTCTGTTTTTCCCTATGTACGGAAAATTTAGAAGAATTGTTCGAGAAACCATCGAATCTCACGTGGATAAATGTTGGATACTACATTGCTGCCTATAGCTAGTTAGAGAAAATTCTTAAATGAATGTTGTCATCCTCGTAGATATTGAGTTTCTTTTATTATCAGAAAAGGATTACGACATTTATTTAAGAAGCAAGCTAAAAGTTTAAGTTGTTGCTGATATAAGCATAGTTCTCATTTATGTCTATATGACATTACAGTAAATAGAGCAAAGAGAAGAATTCACGGCATCGATTCGAAGTTCAATCTATTTTCATAAATTTATTAATTTATTTCAGAATGAAATTGAACAATGCCTTTTTCCAACTTGGCAATGGTTTGCAACAGTCATGGATTCATTTGAATCTCAATTACGTTTTGGCATGACATTAAGTAACTTGAATCACAATGAACATGACTCTACATTTCATGGCAATCGTTTTCTAAAAACTCTTGTTGAACGAGCACAAAGTGAAATTAAAAAAAAATCTACAACCACAGCTACAGCAACAGTCGCAAGTCGAATTAATAGTTTACCAACCAATGGTAAGAGGATCTTTTTCAAAGAAATTCTTCATTTCAATCTTTTTTGTTTTCGTTTTAGATAAACCCGTGAATAATCGCCTTGATTTTCTCAATTATTCTCTATCATTAATGCGTTCAACCCATGAACACGGCGATCAAGAACCGTCTCTTGATGTTTTATCTTATAAACATTTAGCCTATTTACTCGATGCATTTATTTATTATTTCCGTGAAAGTAATTTTAATGAAACAAATCAAATAGCAAAAAGTAATTGGAGAGATGTAACCGATGATGCACCGGCCATCAATCCAACGAATAATGAAAATTCAACGAATGAAGAAATAATAACGTCAAATAATATATTTTTTCAACGTTCACCATCGACATTATGTCTTAGCTCGTTAGGACCCGATCCGTTTCAAATAAACATTGATGATTCATTACCATTAGCATGTCGTCCACAATTATTACAGCCGATATGTCGAAAAGAAGATTTATTCGGACGATTTTTATACGATCAAACAGCTGCGAAATATTCTCATTTGCCATCACAACTTGGTCTTTCACATCGGGAAAATTCAATACCAGATTTTTTACAACCAGCGTATTTAAATTTATTTAATAATAGCGAAGAGAAAACAAATACAAAAACAAGAGATGACGATCGTAAGTTGTAGGAACTTATTTTTCTATGTAAATAATAATAATCGGTGAATTTGTAGGTATGGCTGTTGATGTGTTACTTGATTTAAGTGCTGGATTGATATCATCAAATCGAAGAAGGTTTGTTGAACTTTTATGTTCTATAAAATTTTATTTGAAATGTTTTTTTTTTCTAGACAACAAACATCACATTCAATGCTGTTAAATGGTTCACATGAATATCTATTAGCACGATGGAGATTCTCGATCGAATTATTTGTTAAACTATTTTTGGATGATGTTGGTATTGAACCAGGATCAATAATAAACGAGTCAAGTGGATTTTCAGCTCGCGAACAACGTTTTCGTCATGATATGGAAAGACTGAAAAATGCGCATCAAAAAGATATTCGTTTTGAATTGGTAAAAGAAAACTTCCAAGCAAATTTGACTCTCATATCTATTTTTCATTTAGATGGAACGTGATCGTATTCTGCTAATACAGAAAACATTTCGAACATTGAATTCATATTACTATCGTAATCAAAATATGAGTTCATCATCGTCTGTACCACCATTGGCTGTACAAAGAGTGAAAGTTACATTTAAAGATGAACCAGGAGAAGGAAGTGGAGTGGCAAGAAGTTTCTATTCATCGATTGTTGAAGTAAGTCAACTTGAATAAGTTCTTATGCAGATAAAAATTCTAGTAACGATCAAGTATAGAATAGAATAAATAGTAGATAAAATTTCTGAAAAACAAACGGTTTCTTAAAAGAGCTATCGCTTGTAATAAAGGGATTACCTAGTTTTCTGCGATTTTTCTTCAGAAAGATGAGAACCATCCTATTTGAATTTCTGGAAATCTTCATATCACTCTTAAAAACCTTTCTAGAATGAATTCTACTCAGTAAATAGTCATCATTCTTCAATTTGCAAAAAAAAATAAACTTTTACTAAAATAACTAATCTATCGTAATAGGCAATCTTATCCGAAGAACGATTACCCGTACTTGAATTGGGTACATATGGTGCTTCAGCAACTTCTCAAGCAGCCTCAGGTTCTCTATCATCACATGCACAACGACAACAGCGTCCATCTCGTGAACGCCGCACAACATTAGCAACATATTTACGCAGTGACCGACGTTCATCATCAATGTTACTTTCATCTGAAGCACGACCATTTAAATTTACAGCATCAACTGATTCTTCAACAGCAAATACGAACTCCGAACCGAATATAAATGAACATTGGACGCCCAGTAAAATTAAATTAGGTGTTAGTATTTATCCAAAAGTTGCAGCCATACAACCGTTTCATGCCGAAAAAATAACCGGAATGCTCTTGGAAGGTTTACCTACACCACAGTTGCAACGTATTATTAATATAGACGAAGACTTGAGAGTTAAAGTTGAAGAAGCTATGAATATTTTAACATCGCATAGCTCACGTGATGCACAGCAAACTGAATCATTAGCAACAACAACAACAACAACAACAGCGAACGAGCGTTTATTAACCAATAAAAATTCTTTATTTGATAAGCAACCGAATGAATATGCGCCACTATTTTGGCAACCAGATAAAAAAGGTGTTTACGCACCAAGACCAGGAAAACATACATCTGAACGTTTAACTGCTTATCGAAATGTTGGAAGGTAAAAATAAAAATTTTATTTCTAGAAAAACAGAAAACAAAAATCTTCTCTTGTCCTTTAGACTAATCGGTTTATGTTTATTACAAAATGAACTTTTTCCACTACCGCTTTGTCGTCATGTGATAAAATATATTTTAAATCGTTCAGTACGTTGGCATGATTTAGCATTTTTCGATTCGACAATGTATGAAAATTTACGTCGAACTGCATATGATGCAGAAAAAAATGGACCGCAATATATCAATGATCTTCATCTAACATTTTCATTAGCTGTTACAGAAAAAGAGGTTCGTATTTCAATTTTGATACAGCCTAGGATCGAATAACATAGTTCCTATTTCAATATATATCTTAACGGATCTATACGGACGTTTAGTAGCGAAACGAACTTAAGAAATTCGAATTAAATATTTCTATGGGTACACACACAACTTGTAGAATAGATCCAATACTAGAAATAGAACACATCGGTCATATCCCATATGAATGATACAAATTTTCCTTCTCGACATTCTTAAACATGCAGTAGACCAGATAGAAGCTTAACTGTGTTGATTGCTTCATAGAATTATTTATCGTAATGTTTTATTTTCTTTTTAGGGCAATGAAACATATGATCTTGTTACAGATGGTTCCTTGAAAGATGTAACATATTCAAATCTCTATGAATTTATTAAACGTTATGCCGAATTCCGAATGATCACGCTTGTCGAACAATCACTTCAAGTAAATAGTGTTTTTGGAAAGAGCAAAAAAGTTGAATTTTATAATTTTTGATATTTCTAGCATTTACGTTTGGGTGTATTCGATGTTTTACCATCAAATTCTCTGGATTATTTAAGCCCTGAAGATTTTCGATTGCTATTAAATGGTACGAGTAATATAAATGTAACAACACTAATGACATATACAACATTTAACGATGAAAGTGGTAAGTTATAATGCAAAATAGGACGAAACAACAATGAAACATATGTTTAATTCAATGCTTAGGTGAGAATACTGAACGTATCAGTCAATTCAAAAAGTGGTTTTGGTCTGTATTAGAAAAATTCAATGCTGTCGAAAGACAAGATTTAGTAAGAATAAAATTTTGACGAATCTTGTTTTTAAAACATGATTTCTATTTCAAGGTTTACTTTTGGACCGGTAGCCCAGCTTTACCAGCATCGGAAGCTGGTTTTCAACCTCAACCATCAGTTACAATTCGCCCAGCTGATGATCAACATTTACCAACAGCAAATACATGTATCAGTCGTTTATATGTTCCATTATATTCTTCGAAAAATATCTTAAAACTAAAACTTCAATATGCGATAAAAACAAAAATGTTCGGTTTTGTATAAATAAAACCTGACTGACAGTATTTTCTGTATGTTCGCATGTGTGTCTTGTTTCTATTTATTATCCGTATGTGTGTTATATTGATTTGTAAAAAGAAAAGAAAAACTTTGAGAAGAAGAAAACAATGAACATACATACATACATATAACATGTGATCTTCATATTTCTTTTGTTTCAACCCATAGATAGAATGTATGTACATAAAAATGTTGGGTTTTAATTCTCGAAAAAAAAAACTAAACATAGCTCTTGCCAAGCTGAACAATGGCGTGTTACAACGTGATTGAAATAAGAAAAAGATCAAAATTCAAGATGAAAACTGTTGCTGATAGAAAAAAAGTTCTAAGACAAAGTATGCAATGAGAGGGAAAATGCTATTCCTCATGGTTTGAGTAGTTATGCAACTAGAAGAGTTCGTTTATTAGCGTTGAAGACCATTCTCTGTGTACCGTTCATTGGAGTTGCACAATGCATTCAAATTTATTATTTAGAAAAAAACTTTGGAGAAAAAAAACGCTTTCAGGCGTGTGTACCAGCCAAATTAATGTATGACGACGTGCGAGATGCTTGCAAAAAGATTCGCATCAGAGACCGAGTCAAACCGATTTTTTTGTTTTTCTGTCAAGTTCGATTCAACTTGGCACATACACGAGCCTAGATGCCATAGAGATAGTTAGTCTCACTATTAAAAACGAATTACATCAATGCTATGTAAAAGCCGCCAGTGAAGTTCCTGAGAGATTAATAATCTGAAAATCTGATCTTTTTTATGCATATTTCTTTGTGATGAATTTCTTTTTGATGTTTAGAACTTGAACAAGGAAATAGTTTACATGCATTCCAATCATATGTGACTTATGCATGGTTCAGGGCCGGATGATCCTAGTAAGAAATACTCATGGTGCAAGTTTCAGCCCGATTTGTCCAAGCAGACTTGCATAACAACTGATACATTGTTCATTTCTAAGCTTGCGAACAACTCATATAGCTTCGTTATTAGAAGAGACGCAGAACTCGCGGTTGTTTTTAATTAGAGCTAATAGCAATTCCTAACTTTTAGAAGGGAAAATGCCAAATTAGAAGCACTAAACACCGCGTTTTCTTAATACAGGAAACAATTTGAAAGAGTTTGCTCGGCAGAAATTTTACACTTATTTGAACCCTTTAAAACAAAAATAGTAGTTTCAATTCTGCTGCTCACATGTTATGTTTTGAAAAAAACGATAAATAGGTGCAGAGATAATTTTTTTCGTAATTCAGAAGAAAACATTCAAACGAAATATTCATAATAAATTCGAAGTATAACTTTCAGAAGCACGCAACAAAGGCAGTACACTAGCAACATCTTTAAATAATTTTTTTCCTCCTTTCGAAACGATGTACACGTATGACTATACTACTAGCTATCTATATATTCTGGATACGCTACTTCACATACATACAACTTTCGATCAATTGAAAAATTAATTGTTTATTTTTCGCTGTATATTCTCGACTGTCGTCATGGACTTCTATTCGAACAAAAATAAGAAGAAGTTTCGACTTGCTCTGAACATCCTGAAATTTAAAAAAAAAAGAAGAAAAGTCTAACAAAAAATATAGAATCCTCAATTCTAACATTCGTAGATGCTAAGTAATCAATAAAATCATTTTCTATTTAATTTTGATGTAAATGAAAAAGTCAATCCTCGAAAAATTAGGAGGAATTTAGAAATAACCAAAATATCTCCAAAATCATAAGGGTAAGATATCACATTTTCCATTGAAAGTCAATTGAAGAAGTCTCACCGATTGTCTTCTGTCTATCTTATAATATTTAGGGTAGTCAACATAATTTCACATTTTCTACGCGAACATCCGAGGCAACAAAAAGCTTCTAAAACCGACACATCGATGCTATCTCTAACTTTTAAAATGTATCACCAACGAATGATTTTGATCAAGTAGCCTTTGACTGTAATCAATTGCTTCACATATATGATGCTTTGTAAATCAATCTGAGTAATTGTCTCTTTCACCTAAATTTCTTTTTCAGATAGAAAAAAATAATGGCGAATAATTTTAATTCAACGTATCGGATTATTGACAAGTTAAGTAAGCAGTAGCAATATTCTAATTGTTCATTGAATTTAACAATTAATCTTAGGACGATCCGATTCCAATGAAAAAGCTGATCAACATTCTCGGACTTATTTAATATCGAATCAAAATGAACAAAATGAAGCAAACTATATTTTAAGATTAATCAATCTGGAGAACTTAACAAATCTATCTGAATTTATTGTACGTTAACAGGTAAACTTTAAAAGTAATTTTCTTTTCTATTTTCCTAGACAGATATTTCATGGTATAAACAATTCAATCATTTTAATTTAATGTCACTTAAAGATTGTTTTCTTATTGACACGAAACTTAATCTTGTCAAACCCTATGCTTCGTTTGGTAAGATTCATATTTAATATTAGCCAAAGGAAAGATTTCTGCATGCATGACGTAAACTTTCATAATATTCTGTCAACAGACATGACTGATTAATAGGCAATAGAATCCTCGATAAACATGAAGCATTACGCTCCAGGTGACTTTGCAAAGTATATGCCTTCGTGTGATTATCTTTTTGGAAGACTTTTTTCCTGAAAGAGTGTCTTCACAAGGATGCACTCGATGAAAAAAAAATCCTATATGCCGTTGTCGATGAAAAGAAATGCCCTTCACGTCGATAAATATTGATAAAACCTTGGTGGTGTTCTTTTCATCGACAATAGTTGACCTTAATGTTTGTTTGCACTCATTGAGAACATTTGATAAGTCAGTATTGCTTTGCTTTCTAAAATATATAATCCTCTATGGCAGATTTGATTAAATATGATTTAACTAAAATGAAGGAAAAAAATTCATTTCGCTCTTTTTCTTCTTCTGTTGATCAAAGGTTCTTGTGCTGATCTTCTAAATTCAAATCCGTTTGGCGTATGTGAACGATTAATTGCTCACATTATATGGCAAACACTACAAGCCATTCGTTATCTTCAAGACAGACATATATTGCATCGGTATAATCAATAGATTTGTTCGCTTAAAGTTTTATAAAAAATATCTCTAGTGGCATTGCTTCCAAAAACATATATGTCTGTGATGATGGTCGAGTCTTATTAGATGAGTTTTCTCATTGTATATCAATGATATCACCGTTTGATGGCAAACTACGAAAACAAATATTTGATTATACAGATAAACTAAAAGATCAACTTCTGTATTTAGCGCCCGAAATTATTTATCAAGTTCGTGGAACAATAAAAAAGCGCTTGATATTATATTTTCATTTTACTACAGAATTCTGATGGCTATAATTTAAAAAGTGATGTGTACAGTTTGGGAATGGTTGCATGCGAACTTGCTAACGGTAGTAACAGTTATCGTAATATGACCTATGGAAATTTAAATGTACGAAGGTCTCGATTTTATTTTCGTGCAAAAAAAACACCTATATATTTAGATATTGTATGCGAAAATCCAAGGTTCGGAACCCATTTTACTCGATGGAACACAATTAACGGACGAAAGTACATATTCATTATTGATTCGATTGTAAACGAATATTTTTTATTTAGTGATCGGACTCTGTGATAGCAGCAATAGTTCATACATTGAAGAAATTAAAAAAAGAAAATATACAAAAGAATTTCATTCATTTATTAAATCATGTGTATCCACATGTCTGGAATCGAGGTATGGAAAAACGGTTTCCTATTGAAAAGAAAAAAAGTATGGCTGCTCCTATTAATAGATGTTCATTGGATGAATTACAAAGTCATGCATTTTTCAAGTTTCAAAAGCGACTAAGTCGCGATCGAAATTCACTTCATTGTGATATGGTTAGCTTACTTGAAACTTACAAGAAAAAGAGACCCATCAACAAAGAAATAAACCACTTGGAAGAAACATCATGCAGTAAGTATAAAACATACACACTGACACGTGTGTACGTAAAATACCTACTGACTACATTCTATACTGAATATCCTCCTGTACACTCAACTTTTCAATTAAGACTACGGCGGTGGTTTTTTAAATAGTGATAACGCTAGAACATTGAAAAGTATTTATTGGATATTTGAAAAAAAAATATATAAAGTATATCTCGGGTGAAAATCTGATAATTTAGATTTGATATGATAGCAATGAAAGCGTTCGAACTTGCTTTTTAGATTTTCCAACAAATGATTACAATGAAAAACGAAATTTAACATGGGAATTTTAATGCAATCATGACATTAATATATAGAAATAGTAAAGCAAACCCTCTGTCTTGTTTTTTCCTGGTTGAAAATAAAAATGCAACTTGTTTGTTATTAGTATCTTGTCTTTTTTGTTTGTTAAAATTTACATTTTTGATAAAAGCATTGATGTAGCATAATAATTACAAGGATTCGTTGATAATGAACTTTTTTTCTGACTACTTCGCAAGAGAAATTCGAGTACACATTAACCAAGACCGTGTGAAAACACGATATTACTCAAGGTTAGATGCAAATTAGTAATTGAAAACTAAACATGATATTATTTTACGAGTTGGAAAATTTTCTCAAACAAATGATAACTGTCGAAAACAGTGTCTATTACCATTAAATATTTAATAATAAACAATAGAGCACAAAGCGAAAAGAGAAAGATTTAATTTAATGAATATCTATGACTGTACAACATCAATAGTTTAAAGAATAATTAATTCCATGTTTAGTTGCTTGCATAACAACACCGAAATTGAACATTCAATTCAAACAACGAATAGAATAATGCTTGTCCTTGGTCCTTAAATAATCATTATGACATATTCAATAATGATTTCATTATTGGTAATAGCTGATTCGTATCTGTCGGTGACAAGGCTTTTCGAATCTTAATTCGAGTTTGTTTTTCAATGGTTTGCCATGACATAAACTTTACAACAAGTTCCATAAATATATGTGTAGACTTTTCAAATCCATGCGATGTTTCCATATGTTTCCATAATAATTCTGTATAGAAACGTTGTGCACTATATACAGCCATATCATCATTAAGATTAGGTTCATTACTTTCAGAATCTGCCGAGAAGTCTTTGTTCAATATAAGTATTATAAGTGCCATTTGAATTATTCTTCGGTCATACTGTGCAATGCGTAAAAATGAATTGAAAATTCTTTTTATTGATGCGAATATTTCATCACCATAAGCTTTTTTTAAAATACCTGAATCCCACGGTACATCGAAATCACTTTCAACGATCTGGTCAGTTTCTTTTTTGTATGATAATGTACCATTGAGTAGACTCAATGGCAAGAGATTATATTTGATTAGTGTAACTTTGTCATCAACATTTAATTGATTGAATTCAGGAATTCGCCGGAAAAATGCTACGAGCCGAATTGCTGGTACTGAACGAGAATTGACAACTTGTAGAAAGGTTGTTGATTTGGCAGATGGATCCCATGGGAGACCATCGCGTGCAGCTAAAATAGAGATGTTATATTTATATGAGATTTCTTTGTGAGGCGTGGGTTTATGTAGGCTGAATCGGGGTCATGTTTACTTTATTAATTCCTGACAAAAAGCTCTTATTCTCATGAATAGCGAATCGTATTTTCTTATATGCATTTCGAAGTTGACGAGCTTCTATAGTAGTCACTACTTATTTGATTAGTAGACTTTAGACAAATCGAAATTTCGGAAGCTATTGAAAAGTTGAAAATATCAAGAATGAACTTCGTCTTAGGTTGACTGCATTTCGCTGAAGACGATGTTCCCGTGAATTAAATACTAGCGAGTATATCAATTATTCGTAGGAATACGATATTTTGTAATGGTTAATAGAGAAAATTTGAGCCCGGATCGGTCTGAAAACCGGCTGGTATTTAATTAATTATTTCATAGTTTTGATAAATATGCTAACCGAGTTCAATGCGTTGTTCATATAAATTTTGAATGGATTCTACACGATCTACATCCTCTTTGGTAAGTAATTTTCTGTGGGAATGTGATTGAATAGATGCCAAACCGATTGGATAAGTGTGCTTCGTTGTTTTTGATATCGGTGACTATGGAGGGAAAAAATCGAATAATAAAAACCTGTCAAAAAGAATGCAGATGATGTTACCTGGTGTTTTTGATCATTTGTGTGTTGTTCAGTTTTATGCGTTGAAATTACATTTGCTTCCATTAAACGTCGTTTGGCTGCTTTTTCTTCGGTCTATAAATAAAACTTCTTATAAGTACCTTTTTCTTCAAGAACTTCGATAAGTACCCTCTGTAGTCGCTCACGTTTCATTCCACCATTTAGACATTTCTTCAGGCGACATGCCGAACATCGTCGTCGTGTTTCCGATGTTACTTCACAATCGCTGTTACGTCGACAATGCAAAGATGCCTTGGATAAAACAAAGAAGTTCGAAAAATATGTTAATTGAACTCTGTTATGAAAACGAAATCCTATGGCTTACTGGATCTTTTAGGGCATTCCGACGAAAAAATGCTTTACAACTTTCACATGTAATTGCATCAAAATTGTATCCCAGTGCGGATGAGCCGCAAACAACGCAAGTCAAAAAACAATTTTTTACTCTTCTGTGGCTTGATAATTGATTTGCATCTGGAGGCTATAAATTGCAAACAGAGAATTTCGGTTATATGAAAAACAAGTTTTCTATTACTACCAGATCAGAAAGTGCATCTTCATTGTCTTTCGGTTCGAAGATAACGGATTTAATAAAGGCTACATTACTATTGTTTTGAAATTGTTCCATGATACTTTCATCCCCAGTTATAATCATAATTCGGCGTGGACTTTTACTTGTCTGGGGCACCATTTTGAACGTCATTTGTAGAAAAAAATATTTTTTCTATATTTTCTAAAAATTCAAAAATAATTAAACTTTCTCTATGAAAGAACTATAAACTACAGAGGCAAGTAAGAAGTTAATTTTTCATATAAGATATCCGTCTAAATTTCACAATTGGTTTCAAGAGGAATAATTATGAAATAACTTTCAACTCTATAGAATATTTAGACGAACTGTATTCTTTGATTAAAAATGATAAATATAACGGATACACAATTCAAAATATGAATAATCCAAATAGAAGAATCTTCCTTGAAAAAATACTAACGCGATATCACTCGGCAATTTCTTCATTCATCATGTATATATTATTTTTAACTATTACAGATATCACTCGTTTCAAGTGACTGTTCGGGGTTCTTGAAAACCATACAAAAAAGAGCAAGTTGTAATGCTTATATTATAAAAAAATCTTGAAGAAAAGTTTTTGTCGAGACAAGGAATTTCGTGTGAATTTTTTTCTAAGAAACTCTGTTTCTCCACAAAGAAATATCTTAGAAGCTATTGTGGTCTGTAAGAATTGAACAGGTCTTTAGAGATATCTTAGAGTTAAATTCAAGTTTCTTGTAAAATCTTGAGTAAGTTTTTAATGAGATTAATATCTAATGATTCTGAATCCGGCGCGGCTTGTTATCCTACATATTCCACTCGATAGTTCAAACAACAAAATGATAAACTTCACAATAATCGATCGAACGAACTTAGAAATTACTCGTCATATATCAAAATACAATTTTAATGAAAATTGAAGTTTCTCTGTACAATCGTATTGGATTGCTTCACAGACATTTCTCATTACTCTATGTGTAATCGCCTCGTAGACGACTGGAAATAGTCAAAAGAAAAGGACAACGGAAAGAAGACTGTGAATTCTAATTTTTACTTAATTCTGTGTTTTTCTGTTTGTCTACGACTACATTTGAATAATGCAGAAGACTATTCTTTTTTAATCCTTTTCTCTTGTTTTTCTTCCTGCCTTTTATTATGATCTATGTTTTATTTGCGTGTAGCGTTTCGAATGTGTTCTTCTTTTTGTTGTTGCTGGGGTCAAAAGATGGTTGTACACATTCATAATGTGCATTATAGATGGCATAGCTACATACAAATCAAATCGCTTTGCTTAAGCATAGATCAACGAAATAGTTAGCTTGAAAATATTTCGCATAACTCATATCGTTGATAATATAATCTCGTACCAAAAGACATCAAGAACATTTTTGTGATTTCTGTTGAAATGCCAAAATTATAAGTAATTAATGATCAAGTCTGACACTGACACATAAATAACTATCTCGATGAAATCTATAACAAGAAATAACTATTTACTGCAGTACTAAGAAGAACTGCAATAGTTGACATTTATTTGTTTTTAACTACTTAACCATGTTAACCAAATTTCTTCAGCAGGACTTTATATAAATTATAATAGATGCAAAATTATTTTCTTCGAATAGGTTTTATGATTGGGATAACAGTAAGAAACACATTCATCTCGCACTTTTATATATTAGAATCTAATTGATACTATAATATATATATATATATGATAATAGAACGTAAATTATTCTCAATGCAAAGAATTACAAATTATATGTTTCTGAGTATAATAATATACTAATTATTAGTTTGTTAGAAATTATTTACCTGTAAGGTGCATATTAACGTTCTGACTTTGTAAAAGAAAGTGGCCTTGGGATTCATTCGAGCTCATTTCTGCAATCTTTTTGATTGTTACATCATTTTTTAGCAAGTAATACCAACGTAAGCCTAGGTAAAATATACAACCAGGGATATTATTGCTGCAGGTTGAAACAGTCATGCCTTCTATGCAAAACTAAACATCACGCTTGTAGAATTTTAGCTCTAGACTTCTTAATGTGCCATTTTGCATGGAAAAAAAGGCTAAACTACAGTTTTAAAATGCTTACAGCCTTTTGCAAGCAGCTGCAAAAAAAAACAAGATAATTATATATTGCTATTCATGCGCATGAAAAGTTCAATGCACTCGTTTTCGCTAAGATACCTGGCGTAATATGAAGGTGTAATTTTGTGACATAAAGATTCTGACTTTTTTTTTTTTATAAATCAACTCAATATACAATTAGCTTATTTTATGATACTAAAATTTGCAGTTATTTTTTATTTTATGTTAAAAGCAATCGTTTCGGTTGATTGATACTAAATATGATCGTACTCCGAAAGCATCTATGGTTCTATTTCTTACTAAAAAAAGAAAAGGAAACAATTTTTACACGATTGAGATAAACACTCGGCAAACACGGCAGTACAAAAAGTAAACAAAATGTTTATACCTGCTTGATTTCTACACATATTTACCATGCTTCAGTCATTTTTATACATCCATCAGATAGGTATTTTAGAAAGCGATTGTATTCGATTTCGCTGCACAAAAACAAACTGCATTAAACAGAAGCGACTAGTGTGAATCATGAGGTCATTTTGTTTTTTCCTGTATTATTTGTTCGCTCGATCTTCTACCTCGACTAAGTAACTGACTTATCTATCTAAGCCAAAATGAAGATGTAGATTGTCAGGAAAAAACTAATCAATGGCGAAAGCTACTGTAGATAAGAATACAACATTGCGTATCATTATCTATTAGTATAAGTTGAATATATCTGTAGCTGTAGACAATATCAAGTAACTATTTGAATGATTTCTGTTTTTAATATGCCTAAAAGAATATTAATTACCTTTTTACATGAAAAGTTTATCATGAGCATATATTGTTTTAGAAATATTCTAATCATAGCCTTGTTTACCTTGAATTCGTCAGTAATTCGATGAAAATTTTGAATAGAATATGCGACTACTAGTAAACAAAGTCGATACAAACTAAGCATTTATTTCCATTGGAAATAAGTATTTTAGCTACTTTCAACCTCATTTTTAATTATGGCAATGTGTGACAAGAGTACTTGTGCCCTACGTATAGATTCTCCTATGTAAATACCATATAATTATTTTCTTTTTTGTGTTCTTGCCAAGAATGAAAAAAATAAAAATCACCTACGATAATGACAAAACTTATTTTCAATAACAAATAAAAAAAACCGGCGTAGGTGCAGAGTAACGCGAACGAAGTTCTGATCAAATATTCATTAGAATTGCTTCTGAGAGCTCGATTAATAAGAAATAAAACACGTGCGTCGTTAAAATTATAGGGTTTCGCTGATGAAATACGTTTGCTTGTTAACAGCTGTTTTTATTTTCGTTTTACATTCTTCTATTCGCTTTCAAAAAAAAAAGAAGTTTCAGTAAATAGAGTTTTTAATAAGAATCTCTTTTCATAAGCAGAACAATGTTTCTATAAACTATAATTTACATTTAGTTTTTACTAAAAACATTATTTCTAAGTGATGCCTATTGAACAAGAATGTCATTGCCGGACATAGAATATATTTTGAAGAGTAATATACAGATTCCTGCCTAAATAATACAAAAAAAAGGTTTTCCATCTCACTTGTAGTAAAAATAGCCATAACAAAGAAAATCCTGCCGTATTGCGTGGGAACTAGGGCAGAACGAGAAAAAAAAGACTGACAAAATGCATTGCTATACATCACACAGTAAAAAAAAGTAACCGTATGGTAAAGAAATCATTTTTTCATTCTCTTTTCTTTCATATTACCTCGTACTCTTGCCGCGTGATAAGAAAGGAATGTGCCCGTTTGAAGAAGAGTACAAAAATAAAAACGTAGATATGAATGGAACATCCTTGACATGACGTTTTTTAAATATTTTTCGAACACGAAAATCTAGGATGTGAAATAAATAGAAAGCAAAAACTCTGTTTTCCTTGATAAAATAGCTGCACTTTTATTGAAAGATAAAATCAAGCGAATCGAAATGACTTACTACCAAATGGAATATTTCGCATTGGATTGTGTTTTTTTTCATTCATTTATTACTCTTTTATTTCTGATCGTAAATGAAATGTGACCAAACAATTGTTAATAAATCGTTTCGATACATCGATTTTGATTTTTAATAAGACTGACGGCTTGCTGCCAGGGCAATTTGACATGAATTTTGTGATCAATATGAAAGGATATCGGGCGCATACATATTTCACAATGAAGTTATTGAAACCTAGTCAATATTTGCAGGAATGAATTCGAACATTGATATGCCCGATCAATCCTTCGACAGGTAGATTAACTATATACGTACAAGTTAACTGCGTTTGGGTGAGAATCATTTGTTCATAAAAGAAAATGTTGTTCATAAATTCCAGTAGCTATATAAAGAGCATATGCGATACAATTTTGAACACGCTGACGAAATTTGTATTATAAGATTTTACATATTGGCTAGCAAATGAAAAATACCGAATATGAATAATTTTAATAAAATAGGGCTAATGGAAATTTTTGAGCGACAAAAAGATAACACATTAGTTAAATTCAAATAGATTTCTCTTACGGTAGGCTTCTATGTCTGTCCACTCAAATATGACTCAACGATAGAATACCCTTTGCTACTGCTCCTCAGACACAGATGTGCTTAACATTAGCGGCTAAATATTATTCATGGTAATTTCTATAGCAATAATGCATTCTCGAACTGTAATAGAAGCTAAAAATTACTGAACTTAATCATCAGAAGAAATCTATGTTTGATTCTACACTGATATGTAGCAAACGAATGCAAATATCACAAGCATTGACGTTCGCACTTCTACTTGCCAAAATAATAGGAAACATTTGTATGACTAAACAATTTCTATATAGAATTCATAAATGATTACCTTAATAATAATAATTTGATTATCATTTCATGACTATTTTCATCGCTTCACACTTACATGTTACCGAGAAATATTCTGTAATATATTACACCCTTCAAAAGTCAAGTTACTATTAATGATTATTATCTATATCGAATAAGAGAAAAATACTCAAGATCAATATCAGCTAAGTGGCCATATATTTTATAAAATATAA